GTGGCCTCTGCAATGCACACCAAAAGTACAAACAGGGACACCATCCATGCGCAACATGGCACTGTTAGTACTCTGATATTTTTCGGCTGTTGATGGAATCAGCCTCTCTGAGAGCTACCACAGAGTTCGGGAAACCTGACTACCAGCCGGCCTCAGAACCATAAAACTGAGTTTTAGAGCTGTACCCTCATTAGGAGATAATAGAATGAGTTGCCCAGTCATAAAAATAGAGACACAAGCAATACCCACGCATTGAGTCAAGAAGATCCAGCGTTCAACATCCTAAACTGGAAACAATGTATTAAAAATACATCTGCGCCAGCCTAATAGATGAGGAAGGGGTGCGAGGCTGGTCAACAGATAGAATCTGTTTACCCCTTAAGTCTTTGCCTAGGAGGCCTTCTACAAGACAGCAGCTGGATGCATGTAACATCTGCCCAAGATGAGTATTTTTATCGAGACACCATCTCTAGCCTTTACTCAACCAAGAGCCCCAAGGCAGGGGGTGTTTTAATTCGGAGTTAACTTCTCCTAGCCTTTGCCTAAAAAAGCGTATCCTACAAGGCAGCAGGACATGGAGCAGGTTGTACTGGGTTACATGTTACCAGTAGCAGGAAAACCTGACCTGACCTTGGCCTGACCTGACCTTGACCATATATATATATATATATATATATATATATATATATATATATATATATATATATATATATATAATATATATATATATATATATATACATATACACATACATATATATATATATTTATATATATATATACATATATATATATATATACACATACATACATATATATATATATATATACATATATATATATATATATATATATATATATATATATATATATATATATATATATATATATATATATATATATATATATATATATATATATATATATATATATATATATATATATATATATATATAAACAAAAGTGTGAATTCCATTACAATACCCTGTACTTATTTGCTAAAAAAATAGAACTTTTAAAAATAAACTTCTAAGCATTGCCTAGAGCAGTTGTGTTGTGAAAATAGTATTAAATGTGACTAATATACATCATCATGATATTAATCAATAAAAAATAATAATTGTAATAAACATACAGAAATTCTAAATTTAAAATATCTTTAAAAACTTTTAAAACCATATTTAAGGAACTATTTAAGAATATTTAAAGATCCAACCAAAGATTTACAAGAAGATAAAGTCAGCAAAGATTTGTTATTATTGTACCTAAAATATATTTTTTCCATTATATTTTTGTCACTGATAAACTATATATGTTTATTCAAAACTCAAAAACAGGTTTAAAATATATTTAAGGTATTTAAATATATTTTGATTAATAATTTTTTGATTTAATATAACTAAATAGATTTATATGTTAATAACTCATCAATATTAAATCATATGATAAAGCATATATTTAAGGCAAAACATATAAAACTTATATTATATAAACTACAACAAACAGATAAAATATAAAATAATAAAAACTTGGAAAAATAAAAAAACACATTGATTAAAAATAAAAGTTTTTTATTTTATATTATTTTAAGTTAACAATTTATAGTTTTCATATCATTATAGTAGTTTAAGTAAAGTTTACTTGCTTGGTATCATTTAATCTTAATGAATTCAAATCCGACAGATTTTTATGACAAGCTAAAAAATTTTTGCAATACATTTTTTATTTTTCAAAATTTAGTATTTTTCTAAAGCAGATTTGAATTCATTTATAAAAATTTATAAATTCATTTATAAATATTTATAAATTCATTTATAAATATTTATAAATACTAGGGTATAGTTAAAATGATTTAAATAATTGAAAAAATTAAAAAAAAAAATATAGGAAACAGTTGAACATATAATTTTTCTTTTTTATGGGAAAATGGGTTTTTATTATATTAAAAAAATCTAACTTGCGCAAGCCTGGAAACAAGGATACTAAACCGAAGATGATGATAATAATGATGAACTAAGTTAAAACCTGAGTATTGAGAGATATAAATATTTAAAATCATTTAAATTAATTTAATGTAACAAACAAACATATTAATATCATTAAACTTTTTTTTTATGTAATACCATTAAACTTTCTATTGATTTATAAAAAAATATAAATTTTAGTTTTGAAAATGATTGCAGACAATATTGTTTAATAAAGATTACTTATTTGCAAAAGAAACTTTTGTTTGTGGCTTTTTCTTTTATAAACTTTTCCTGAGTTATCTGAATTGATGCTCCAACAGCAGTCTTCTATCATGTGTTTGTTCTGATGACAATTTTCGTCAATCAATCATCAATCATAAGATCTTGATGAAATTCCCTGTTTGTCACTTGCATCCCCAAGACTCCAAGAAACTGGTCAAGATGTCTATTTATATAATGAAGTTTATACTCATTAAGACCACAAAAAGCTTTTAACATTCTCTCAAATAAATCTGAATAGTTTTTAGCTTTTTTTTTTCCAAGAAAGTTTTCACAAAAACCACAAACAACAACCATGCGGTTTTCTCCAAGCTATCTTCTCTTTTCACAAATTCTTTATCGTTTATAAAGTGTTAAATTTGTGGCCTAGCAAAAAGTTTTTATATTTTTTATGACCTGGTAATGTTTAAAATAAATACTTAAAGCAAATAATAAAAGTGCTTTAAAAAAGTGTTTTATGAAACCAAGTTTCAGATGGAGTGGTGGAAAAACTATTTTAATTTCTGCTAACAGTGGGTTTGTTCACAGTATTTGGCATGCCCACTGTGTGATTGTTGTAAAACAGCCATTCTTTTTGTATCCAGCGTTGCTTTTTTTCTTGACTTGTGTAAATAACATGGAAATTTAGTATAACCTTTCTAATAACAATGAAGAAAATTAACTAGTCTCCATTCGGTTAGATTAAATACAGAAATACATGACTGTAGTAGGAAACCTAAAAAAAGTTAACAAATGTTTTCTCTCTTGTTCTAAAGTAGAAAAGTTTTGCAAAGCTGTCAGAAAGGTTCTTGTTCTTTAACCAAGAGGCTAATAATTCTGCTGCTTAAAATGTCCTAAATCACACACTAAAATCAATTTTAAACATTATACATTAGAGAAGTGTCCTAAAACTGATATGAATGCTTCTATTTCTGTAGCTTTGTTTTGCTTTGTTCATCATCTAACAAAGGTAAACCTTAAAAAATTGGAATTGGAATTTTTTCAGAATGTTGAATTGTTCTAACAGCGGAAGGGATGCTTGATTAAACATTAATTGCCGCTTTAATTTTCCAATACTAAGGTATTGATAGGACAAAAATAGCGATTGCCAAAATGGTTTATCTGCCCACACCATGGGGACCCCAAAAAGCAATTTTTTTTTCTTTTGTTCAATCTTGAAGTCTCTCTTTGCGATTACTTTTTATCTTGGTAATTAAATTTAATATCAAAATACACTAGTTTTAAAAATTAGTAATATTTTGTCTTTGTCTTACAAGTGTATAGCAGCAACAGATATAATAGAGTTAGGATTATGTTTACACCTATGTTAATTTGAAGAAGCCATCATATTATATATTTGGTTTAGAAAAAAAACAATGTCATCACTTTTTCATCACTATTTAATAAAAATGCTGATAAAAACCTTATTTTTGAAAAACTCAAACAATACATAAAAATCAATATAAACATCTCATGCAACAAAAAAAATTTTTTTCTGTAGACTTGTGTTATCAATCATGATGAACAACTTTTGACATTAGCATTTGTAGACTGTTTCAGATAAGCTTTTCTTTTTTAAATGTTTGAATAATAATTCAAAAAACTCAAAAATTTAAAAATAAAAATTCAAAGAAAATTATAAGCAAACGAGCTATTTAAAAATATAAATACATATTTAAAAAAAAAAAGTTAAAAAAAAGCAAGAAAAATGTTTTCTTCATGCACATATTCTTTTTATGATTTTATTTTAAGAACATTTCGTCACATTGCAATTTTTATTATTATTTGTTTGATTGAATGAAATTTTGTTTTATAACAACTGCAACAACTGCAAAATTGTTTTTATATAGAAAATAAAAAACGTGTTTAAACTATGATTTTTATTTAAATTTTTATCACAACATTAATGCCTATATAAAAAAAATTTTATTATAAAAACCATAAACCTATCTTATAAACCTAACTAATTGTAACACAGACAACAATAGCCACTTCATTTCTAAGTTAACCTTTTATATAATTTAATGTCATACAATATTAGGCTGACAAAAACAAGTTGTCTTGACAAAAAAAACTTTATTGGAATAAAATAAATATAAATAAAAAGTTAACATTTTAGTTTAAAAAAACAAAACTTGTATACAATAATAGTAGTTTTGAAAAATATCTGATCAAAATAGTCTAAACTTAAGAAACAGATTGCCCCTAACATAAAAAGTCTAAAAAATGATGCACTGACTTTTTTTTTATATAATAATTTATTTCCAACTAGGCTGCAAGCAACTTTTATTAAATTTGGAGTTACTAATAAAAAAAAAAGAATGAAGTTATAGAGCAAGAAAACGGTTGTCATAAGATAATATAGATAAGAAACAAAAAAGAACCAAGGATAGAACCTTTAGGTACCCCAAAAGGAAGGATAGAACCTTAAGATACCCCTAAAGTTACTAGAAATGAAGAAAAGAATTGACCTTCGAGGATTTAATAATCGAAAATCAAAGAATTGATTTAATAATCTAAAAAATTTTTCCCATATGAAGTAAATTATACAATGAAATAAAATTTAAATAATATTAGTAATGTATTACAAATGCGTATCATAACAAACCTGAAATAACATAAAATAAAGTATTTAAAATTGTATTCAATATTTCATGCAAAATTGAGCACAAAATTGAAATATTTTCTGCAATAAATGCAATTGAACATATTTGGCATAATTAAATTTTATCCTTTAATAAATTCTATGATAACAAAGTAAAGTAAAAATACTTACCACCACTGAGTGGTAAAAAAAATCCACCCATTCCGCTTCTTCTTAAATAATCCCACAACCAACAAGCTGGTCCAAGCGCAATCTCTTCTTCTGGTTGATAAATTACTGGATCTATAACAGGACTGAGTGGAGCAAAAAAACTGTTTGTAACACAAAGACAAAAATCAATGTCCAGCCTTGGATACTTTTGGCTTAAAGACGTTTTGGTACCAAACTGGGAACTTCTCCGATAAAGGCTAACTTCTTCTAAATCAATTGTTGAAGAGACTACTTCAACTTCATTTAAAGAAAACTGTTTACCTTGTCCTACTAATTCTCCATTTTTAAAAATCATACATGGTCCATCATAATATAATCGTTCTCCATCACAACCCTTGATAGCTGAATATAAATAAACTCCACCTAACTAAAAATAAAAAGAAATCAATGTTGTTAACTGTAGTAATACCTGGCTATTGTACCCTTTTTCTTGTATGCTTGAAACAAGTTATCAAGCATACAAGAAAAACACTTATATCCAACTTTACTTTAAACATCATTAACTTACTGTAAAATTTCACAAAAAAAATTTTTTTTGTGTGTTTTTTAATGTTTAACAAACCTTAATCTCAAACTCTAACAATTAAGTCCTCAGTCCAAACAACTAAATCCTGAGTTCGGACAACTAAATCTTCAGTTTGAACAGGGTTTTCGATCCAGATATCTGAATATCTGATTATACGGTTATAATCTGTTTTATTTTGACTTTTTGAAAAAACTCAAAATTCTAGATTAATTATTCATTCTAAATATATTATTATATTAAATTTATTAGTAATTTTTAGATTTCTAAAACTTTAAAAGTTGTAGTAATGTCAAAACGATCTAAAATTTTGAACCATATTTAAAAAAATGAAAAAATAGGAAAATTGCTTTCTGTAAGCATTGCAGTAAAAAACTAGGATGTAAAGATTTATCTACATCTATATATACATATATACATCTACTATCTATTTATCTTCTAATTCTTTTTAAAAATTCATAAGGTTTTCATAACTTCATTTAGCCTATCTGCTACTACTAAAAATTCATTAGAGCTCTAAACAAAGTGAGCCATCAGATAACAGAGCTGGGAACAAAGTGAATCATCGACTTCTAAAAAGTTTAAAAGTACTTATGCATTAATAGTATAAAATAATTTAATAAAACTAAAACATTTTTAAAAGAAAATCTTATTGTAATGTGGTGAGCATAGTTTTTCAATGAAACCCATAGTGTAATCACAAGCAATTAATGGGTATACAACCAAACATTTAAAAAAGAAAGTTTACAATTAGTAAAAATTATTGAATCTGTAATTATATTCAATTTTATATTTGTTTTAAAGAATTTAAACAATATGTTTTACGTTTTTTTATTTATCTGATAGTCATACATATTTAATTTAACAATCTCTTATACATTAGAGAAAATTAAATAAATCTTTAAAAAACAATCTGGTGGATTCAATTAAAAAGAAATACACAAAAATATTGAACTCAACAAATAAAGTATGGATGGTTGGATATCTACTTGAAGACTATAATTCTCTGTCAGTCACCAGCTTTCTGCCTACTTCTCGAGATGTCTACAGATTTTTTAGGTTTATCTTTTTTTAAGATTTTTTCAAAGTTTAGTGTTAAAACACCAACTTTTACATTTATTTTTTAATTTGATTTATTTTTAATTGAATTTCTGAAATTCTATATAACAATAAAAATAAACATATTGAAATAATATTTCTTTCATTTAGGACAAGGCTGTACAAAATGAAGTATTTAATGTGGTGGAAAATTGATGTTGTAGGAAAATTGTGATTTAGTAATTTAAATTTTTATAACTTTTTATAAGATTAAAAATCTGAATTACAGTTAAACATAAAATTTACAGCAAACGTTTAAAAGATTATTTGTGGTTGGCGTATTGTTTTTTCCATTTACCTCCAGTTAAGCCAATATATTGTTTATCAGGTATGTGAGGAAATATATTGTTTATCAGGTTTGTAAGGAAATAATATATTTTTAAATAATATTTTTTGATAAACATTTAATATTCATAGGGCAATCAATTTTTCTGTTTGCAATCATAATTTTCCGTATTTTTTTCTTTAAAAAAATTCACTTTTATTAATTTATTAATTCTTTCCTTATTTTTTGTACAGCTATAACTTTAATAGTAAAAATTATTTCTGTTAAAAATTTTAACTGTTGAAAATTATTTCTGTTAAAAATTTTAACCGTTAAAAATTATTTCTGTTAAAAATTTTGTGCAACTTATTAGCCTGAAGAAATATTTATCAGGCTTGGTCGGGAAGCGTGTGAACTACTGTAGAAATTCAATTAGCTAGATAGAAATTAACTAAAAACGTTAAACTACTTTGTGAGGAGGAAGTGGAGCTGCTTTGCAATACCGCTGAGAATATTTAGTAAGTGGTCTTTATAATTTTAATTAGTATTTAAAACAGAAAAAAGTAACTTTAAGTTTAAGTATAAAAAGTTTGTAAGAATAGCTGAAGCAAAAATAATTGAAGTTAGTAAACCAATTTCTAAGAACTTAAAAACTTTTCTTTCTTAGGGGAAAGAATCAGTTATCGGGTACACTGAGGATTAGTGGTTAAAATTATTTGTATTAACTTTGTATTAAAATACACATAAAATTACATACATAAAAAATACATACTTAAAAATACATTACATACATAAAAATACATTACATACATAAAAATACATTACATACATAAAAATACATTACATACATAAAAATACATTATATACATAAAAAATACATCCCTTATATATAAAAAATAAGAATATACTAGTAAAGTCTAAAATATATTTACAAAACATTGACAAGTTAAAAATATAAATTTAAAACATTTATTTTTGTAAACAAATGTTAGTTTAAAACATTTATAGCTTTGTAGATGTGGCTCCGAGAATGAGCCATAGTATTAAAATAATATTCGTTTGATAGTATATTCTTAAAACAATTTATGCTAGAAATCTCAATGAAAACATAACAAAACTCAAATAATACAGTTTTTTAAAATATTTCAACAGAATACTAGAACATTAGGTTAGTATTTTTTGAATACTCTAGAAATTTCGGTTAGTATTTTTTGAACCAATAGAACTAGTTGTTCGTAGATTTTGCGGTTTTTTTGTGTCTGCGAATATTCTTTTTTTATTTTTCCGCACAAAGATGTTTGAGAACATTTGAGTTTATGTATGTTCCCATGTATGTCCGTAAAACAAAATATTTTAAAATTTACAATAAAATAATGAACTTAATTATTATTTTGCGGACAAACAAGAAAAAATACATAAACTTAAATGTTCTCAAAATCTATTAAAAATTGTTTTTCAATATTTGTTGAAACATATATGCTGTACAGAGGGTTGAACCAAATTCTATTTTTATTTTGGTTTTTTTTTTTCAATTTTTGTTTAGAATATTAGCTCAAAATCTTTACAAAATTTTTCTCTGTTTCAATAAAACTGAGACAAAAATACAAAATAAAGCTTAAAACCTTGGAAGTAGCATCAGAAATAAGCTTTATTCTTCTACTCATTTTCTGCAATTCAAAGTTTGAAGCGCTTCCGTTAGTTACAATTTCAACACCTGTATATAAATGAAAAGTTAAACCTAAACATTTAATGATACAAATAGTAATTTAAAAAAAGATGATTTTAAAAAACAATACCTTGCAGAGCCATGTTTAAATGCGGAGACTGTGGTGAAAACAATTCTTGGCAAACTTCACACCCTAATACAGTATCTCTAGCTACAATGATTGCTTCTCCAAATGGAACTTTGACTTGCCCAGTAATCTTTGTAATGATTGGAGGAAGCATTAGTTCTTCATATTCATAATCCTTTTTAAAAAATATAATAAAAAATGAAATTTTTTTTTCAAGAATCCAAACAGATTATCCAAACTAGTTAATTAGAATTTAAAAAAGTTTTTAATCTACTTTTACTAGTCTGGGTCTAAAATAAACACATAAACAGTACCAGTCAATGTATTTTAAAATTATAAAAATAGTGTAATAAAAATATTATTACATAATAAATATAAGTAATCTAACCTTTTTTTTTAAAGAGACATAAACATTTAGACTATCAAAAATCAGATTTTATAAATTTTTTTAAAATTCTCTTCCATGCTGAGTAGTGCTCATCAGAATAAAAAAGCTCCTATATCAGTAAAGAAAGTTTTAGGGCTTCTTTTCCTTTTTTTTAGGCTCCTAAGTGCAACTGATGGCAAATCAACTTGTTTGGTATATTTAGAACCACTTCCTAATAATCATGCAACAGTACAATCTCTCTAATTCAAATATCTTTAATCAAAAAATTCCATAATTCGAGTAAATGCTAAATCACCCTGAAATGTCACCATAAAAAATCAACTTTCTGTAATCGGAAAATTTCTCTAATTTGAACTTTTACTTTTCATCATACAATTTGAAAATAGAGAGATTGTACAGTATATATTTATTTTTCTATTGACAAATTTTTTGTTTACTTATTGTTAAAATATGAATCTCAAGACTTAATATCTAATACTTTTTTATTATTATTTGTATATTATTAATGATAAAAACAATAGTTTGTAATCCACTTTTTAAGTTGTACTACTATGATTTTACAAATACTACTATTGCTTCTGTTCAAGCAAAAAAAAATTAGAAAACAAGAAAACTTTAACTTTACATACACAAAAAAAATGATACTTATGTATCTTCAATGATGTAGTTTATTTTAAATTTTAAATACAACTCACTTGGTTCTCAACCAATTAAAATACAATCACTGACACATAAAACTAACATCAATCTTTGTTATTAATATTAAGCACAAAACTGAAGTGTGTTTCAAACTCTAAGTTATACTGATGTAAAGTTATATATACTTGGTAAAAGGATCTTAGCATCATTCTAAGTAGCAAAAATTCTTGTCAAGAAGGGTTTGATGATAATAAAGTCTTAACCACCAAATATGAAGTAATTTACATTAAAAAAAAACAATGTATATCAATAAAAGTTTACAACCTCAAAAAATAAAACTCAAACTCAAAAAAAAAACGGTCTTGCTTTAATAAATTTTGTCTAATGAATATTCAATAAACATTTAATATCTTTTTAAACAACTTAAAGAGTGTATGTTAAAAATATTTTTATAACTTTAATCGGCAAAATCAACCTATATAATTTGAAAAAACTAAACAAACACGATTCACAAAAAACTTTATCTACAATAAAAAAACAACAGAAAAATACCTAGTATTAAAGAAACAAATAAAAACAAAGCACATCAAAAATGTTTACTTAGGCTTTTTATTTTTTAATTCAAACTAATATTTCAATAGATGTTTACAATGTATTTAGAAAAACTGTTAGATAATACATTTCTCTAAATTAAATCTAACCAAATATTATTAACAAATAACATTTATTTGAAGAAATATACCTTAATCCATGGTGTAAACCATCTTGACTCGCGATAATTCTCATCGATCGCCAAAGTCTTTTTCGGTCTAATTAATATGATTCTTTTGTTTAAAAAAATTACTCGACAATTGTATAATGCATGATTGTACAACACTGGCATACCAACATCAACAATAAGGTTTTCACAAACAGTATTCTCAAGAATACAGGCTAAAGATTCCCAGGAATGAAGTAAGGTATCACTTTCTGAAAAATGATCATTGCAACCATAACCTGGGATTTCCAGTTCTGGACCCAAACGATAACGAGCTGAAATTGAAATCAATTTGAAATTGATCTATTTACAATGTTTACATTTAAACCAAAACTTATGCATAGCAAACAGTTTGTGTTTACTATATTTACATTAAATATTTATTTACACTGAAACCAAACCTTATGTATAACTGATATTTAACTAATTATTCAAGAATTAACTTAAGGTTTTCTGATGAAATATATTAATTCTACAACTTGTATTTGAAAAAAGAAGACTTCATACGCTTTCAATAAATAAAGATTTTAATCCTTCTAATCGATTTCGAACCCTTCTAACCAAGTCAAACCTCACTCTCAATGTGAGGTGTCAAACCCCACTCTCAATGTTTTTTTGTGCAACTGCTATTTCTAATCATTTTTTAACTTTTGGAGCGTGTAACATTTGCAAAGTTGCAGAAACATCTTTTTTTTGTTTTTAGGTACTCCAAGAAGATCTAACAGTCTTATCACAGAGCACCACAGAAAAGAATTTAATTAGAAAGTTAATGTCTTTCCTTACCCCTGGCACCAAATATGCCTAGAGCTCGCTTTAAAACCTGGATCAATTGCTTCTAAAGCAAGCGCACTAACTACTATACCAAGGCTGCTCAATATAAACCAATTTAGCCATAACTCCGCTTCCTTAATTAAAACTCTCCCTTAGTTCCATTTGCTTGGACATTTTAAGAAAATAATTCACTTTTGTCATTTTGTGTAACTATAGAAATTCTCCTTTTCAGCAGAAAATTATTTTCAGTGATCAACAATCCACCTTCCCAACAACCTGTAAGAGCAACAGATTAAGATAAATACCAATCTTGAGCGGAATGTTTTGGCAATTGTCAAATAGCATTTTTCACCTGGTTTTTCGAATTTAATATTTATATATTGTATAATATATATAAATATAATATTTTTTTGAATTAAACTGAAGTACCTTATTGCTTCTTTCATATTTGCTACTTTTTAGATTTTATTTTTGTTGTTTTTAACACAATAATAAAAAGGTCACAACTTGTAATCAGTTTTGACAATTGCAAAGGAACTGTCATAATTCATTACAGATCAAGACCAACATCATCAATTATCAAGACCAACATCATCAATTATCAACAACAACATCATCAAGTTTTTCTCATCAAATCCAAGCAGATTGATATCTTTTGAAATTTTGTATAACTACTTTTGCATTGTCTCTGTAAATAATTTCTTCAAGCTAGATTTGTTTTATTAGACATGATGTCCTATCAAATCTAATGTAATGAAGATTGTAAAACTACAAGTTTCACTACAAGTTCCAATTTCAAAATCAGCTAGAAAAGTTTACTAGAACCATCATTAATGAACAAACTTGACAATAATATACAATACAATAATTCTACTAACTCCTTTTTCAGATTGGTTGACCATCTAGAGTTTATCAAAATGAACCATTACGCCCAAGATATAATACCATCCTAATAGAATTAATATTAGCAATAATAATATATTAATATAATATATTATTTTATTTACAAAAACAGTTTAACTAGCTGTTCAGGTTTGCATCAGTCTGTAAACATAATTATTGATGGGTGGTGCAATGTCCATAATGAAATAACAGTTTGTAAAAAAATAACAAATTCAGACATCTATCTTGCAGATACAATTGATACCGCCAGCCACTCACTTACTTTTGACTATTTGGTTGATGTTACTGTTAATTCTATAAACGAACCCAAAAAACAATTTGGTTGTAAAGCTTGCAATGTAGTAACTGATAAGGCAGCAAATGTGTCAAAAATGAGACAAAAAGATGATGTTAATGTTATTATGTAATAATATTATGAAACTCAAGATGATGTTAATGTTATTATGTACGGAGGATGTTCAGCTTATATTCTCAATCTATTGGCCCAAGATTTGGCAATTCCAAACATCAAGATTAGTTCAAGTTGTTAAATATTTTAGAAACATTTATTTTGCTGATGCTATATAAAAAGCAATAGAGGCATAAAAAGCAACTTAAGCCCCAAGATGTCAAATGGAACACATTGACAGATTACCTTGAATCTTATCTAAAACAACTGTTATCAATCCAAAACATCTGTTAACAATTTAAGAAAAAAGCAATAGTTGATAAGAATATTATCAATATTGTAAATAACCTTGACGTAAATCGCAGTACAGAAGAACTGTTACAAATGCTTAAACCAATTGCTGTTGCGTTAGACCTGATGCAGCAGGATAGTTGTGCTATTGGTGACAGTGTAGTGGTATAGAAAAATCTTCAGAGAAAATTAAGTCCTTAGCCAAGATGCTAAGAAGAATTTATCTAAAAGAATACAGCAGGCAATGACTCCAACTCATTTCTTGGCTAATAATGTTTTGAATTAAATACACTCATTTCTTGGTCAATATTGTTAATCCTTAATACAGAGATAAAGATTTGATAAAACTGATTAAAAAAAATAGAGATTGGAATGAACTTTGTGGCTTCAAAGAATCCAAATTTTCTTCCACAAGTGGTTAATTTTAAAGCAGAAGCAGCACCATTTCAAAAAATTAAGTTCCATGATAAAATTGTTCAAACTTTAAAGCCATGTGATTGGTGGAAATCTCATATTGATTGTGTGAATCAGGAATTACTAAAAGTCATTGATCAGTAAAAGGATGAAACTTGTTGAATAAGAAGCAGAGCAAAAATTAGTTTTGGCTTATCGTAATAGAGATGGTAGCTTGTTTGAGCATTGACCATGATAGTATTTGTAGAAAAAAGAAAGAAATGCAACCTTACAACAATGGGAGAGTGGCTCAACCTAGGCATGTATTATCAGCAACAAACTTGCTGTGATTTTTTTCTGTCTCTTTTGGCTTCCAAATGTTCTGAAGACTCTACTGTTAGAAAGATTTCAAAGCCAATGCCACACTAACAGGAAGGATGTTTGCTTGAATAAGATTGAATTCCACACAAAAGATTGACAATTTGAAGATCAATTGAAATTTTAAACTTAATATTGTTTCTGTTGATTAAATCTATCCTGTCCTTATGCTAAATCTGTCTTATGTTGAATGTTTTTGTAGAATTTTTGAACTTCTCCAATTGATATAATTAACAGACGCTTGACTAGTATCTCAAGCTATTGAATTCTTAAGTAATTTTTGAGTGTGCTTTTGGATGGTTTCAGAAGTTTTTTCATTAATTCTTTTTGATACGTTAATAAGAACAAGACTCGTTTTTAAAAACCAGTCTGGGTTTTATTATCATTCCCCGTCAATTCCAATCTTCATAAGATAATCTGTCAAGTGTCTTCTTTCAAGCAGAACATGGTTACTTAGTTCTTTCAAATTCTTGCATTGAACAATATCTGTGTTTTGGGATACTGTCTCGTATTCTTTGATTTTTTAATATTAACTTCAACAATATTAAAACAATTTGAAGAGTTTCTTTTGTTTTGTTGCTTATTTTTGTGCCCTGTTTAGTTGCTCAAAGTAGATCCGAATTTCTTCATTTTGGCATTAGAAAGTCCAGTATTGAGCTGAACATTGACAATGTTTTGGGTTTTAAGAGTATTTGCTATAGGAATCTGTGTTTTTGTCTAAAACACAGTTCTCAACAAATCAAAGAGTTGCTTTAAAACTTATTTTTTTAAATTCTTAATTTTTATAATTTAATATAAAAACAAACTTATAACTGTTTACCACAGGTGACCTGGCTAAGTCCATGCGATGATCATTCCTTTGTGGCAATAACTGATGATACAATATGTTCTGCTTCAATTGGATCATTCCCAATATGAGCTTGACAATGAGCATGTATTATTTATATTTTGATCATTTGTTATGTTATATTTTGATGGTTTTTTTAAGCTATTTTTTTCCAATCTTGCAAATCAAACATTCACAGTTCAGAGTATCTCAAGTAGCTGTTTTATAAGTAACATGAATTATTATAGGGATCCCAAACTCCCAACACATGTTGTTATATATACGGTCTCTCGTTTTTGTGCAAGAAAGCACAGTATTTTATATTCTGACTCTTAATTATTTTTATTTAAACAATGGGGACTATTTTCTAACTTCTCTGGTCATTTTTATGCAATGACATTTTTTGTTTTTCCGTGGAAGAAAAAAATTTAATAACGTTTACTTTCATCAACTGACAGTATTAATTAGAGATATTTGATGAACTGTTAAATTTTTTTATTATAAAAAATTTTTGATTACGCTAATTTAATTTAAACTGCTAAATTTGCTGAATTGGATATGGATAAAAAGTAAATATTATTTTATTTGCATTTGATTTTTGAAAACGAAAGTTTTAAAATGTCGGCAAAACGCGTACGTATATTTTAGCCCATTTTATACAACTAATATTTAACAAAAATACGGTAAAATTATTATTTATTAATGCAATAATTAACACGTTAATTAATGGCAATAATTCAAGATAGATGGTAATTTAAATTGTCAAAATGTCATAACGCGCGTTAAAAAACATTATATTTGGTTTTTTTTTTTTTTTTAAGTTGATTTAGGTGCCCCAAGAAGTCTTTACGGCCTTATCACAGAGAACAGCGGAAGAGCATTTAATAGGAAGTTCACGCCTCCTTCCCAACCAATGTCACAAAACTCACTCAGAGGTGGGGCTTGAACCACGGATCTTACGTTTCTGAGACAAGTGCGCTACCACAATTTATTTCCCAATTTATGTGTCGTATTTGGCATTTGTCTCTTAACATGGAAATTAAAAAACTAACAAATTTCACAAATACAAGTTTTCAAGCAATTTTCTCTTCCAATTCTCATTTATTCAAAGAAAAGCTTCAATTAAACTTTTATTTCTCTCTCATCTAACAAAAGAAAGAGTGAGGCAAAAAAAAAAAAAAATTCTATACATCTCTTATTCATTCGATGTTTAATTATGCAAAACTTTTCTCTTTTGTTCTATTCTTTTATAAAAAGAGATTAATAATAGCTGAAGACTCCATTTTATTTCCAATACCACCAATTAAGTTTCATCTTCTTTTGTGAGTCCTTAACCATCTTTTGATTTTTTAAGAAGCTTCTTCATTGTGGGCTAGAAGCAATAAACTAGCCTGCGAAACTAAACATTCAGATGCAGTCATTTCATGATGGTCAATTTGCAGGAAATTAGTTAAGTATCAGATTAAAGAATGTTAAAATACTTGAAAGAATGACAGAAAAATTCTGTACATTTCAAGCTATAGACATGTAGTCTCTTCTGATACGTTTTTATTTTTTATTTAGGACTGACTTCAGAAGACAATTTTCGCAATGAAATAAAAACTTTTCTTTTTTAACATAGAATTAAACTTAGATATAAAATTAAATTAGAAATAAATCAACAATGAGCAAAGCAACTAACAGTTTAATCTGGGACTATTTTAATATTGATGAAAATAATCAACATAAGCAACATTACCAACAACAATAATTAAGTAAACAACACAATATCGCATAATTTTAGGGGCTTTTTATTTTTATTGCTTAGTCGTTCTAAATACTAAGTAAATTTAGTTCAAGTTACTATTTCAATATATACAGTGTTATAAAAAACTTTAGAACACCCGTCATTAAAAAAATTTGTTTGATATATATTTCGACGTGATTATTCAAACTAATTTTTTCATTTGAGTTCCCGAACTTCATTCAAAGCAAATTCAGGCAAAATATCATATAACCAAATAAAAATGCTGTAACTAATTTTATATGGGTAATTAATATTAAACAATTTTGTAGAGTCTTGATTGATCTTATTAATCATTTATTAACATTAAATATAGCGCAATAACAATTTATAACAATGAACCAGTATAAAGTATTTAAGGTTTTTAATATCTTTTTAAATGTTAAGTAAAACATAACTAAACGAATAATGAAAAAATTCATGAATAAAATTTTTTCCAGAGTATTATTTTCCGTGACATCAAACTACAGACCCAAACTTTTATGAATTAAACACGCTTTAAAGGAATCGTCAAAGTCTGTAGATTGCAACGTATAATTTAAAAACTCCAAGTTTTTGAATAAAATGGAGAGCTTCGGCTAAAACTACAATGTTAGTTTTTCTCGGTATGCATTCATTATTTATTTTTAATCAAAAAAACTTGGTTCAAACCATTTTTAACATTATCTTTAATATGAACACAGCATGTGTTGGGAGTTTAGGATCCCTTTAACATAAATTGACTCAAAATTAAACAACTCAGGCAATAAATATTTTGTTACCTAGATTCAATTTTTCGAGCAACTTTCTGTAGTTATCACAAACTCCTTTTGAAACCTTTTGATTTTTAAAATCCATTGTAATTTTAACAAGTTTGTTTACTGTTTCAATAATAAATGTTATAAGTTCTCTTTTACTTTAAACCTTTTTTTAAAAGTATTATGCAGCTTGCAATTTATGTACACATTAAGCTATTTTTTGTAAACCTAAAGCAATTTTGATAAACAATTTCGGTTAAGCAACTTAACTTTTAAAGCCCATTCTGATAATTACCCATACCAATAAGTTGTCTACAATTAGAAATTTTACATTCAATTTTTCGTAAGCTAATTGCCTTGACTCTTGGAAGATTCCTTCAACTTTTAATGTTAAGTTATTTGCAAATAATACCTTTGAGGTAGATTAGGTATTGTAAAAAGGTTCCAATCCCGGCGTTCTGATGTAATAAATGTTTTTTTAGAGCCAGTATCTATCAGTGTTAATGTTATATTTTTGTATATGGTGTCGTTAATTAGTCTGTTAGGTGAGTCAACTTCTGCTATGAACAAAGTTTTTTTTTTGAGAAATTTTTTTCTGTTATTTTTTTAACACGAACTAGACTTTTTTTTTTCATAGTTCAAAATAATTTTCATGTTTTGATATAACCTTTTAAATAAATTTCAACACAATAACTTGGAATTTTGATTAAAAAACAAAACTTTAGGAGAATTAAATCTTTTATGTATTCATATAGTATTTTTTTAAATAATTATCTAATAATAGATTTTTTTTTTCCTAAAGATAGATTAAGCTGTAAAACTTTTTAGATAAGTTTAGGGACTAGGTATCTTGGATTATTGTGAAAGGTTTCACTCTGCATAGAACAAATAAAAATTGTGGTTCCAATCTTCTGGAATTTTATCTTTTATCTAGAAAAATTGATGGTATTTTTTCCAGTATAAATATTCTTCGTTGTTTGATTTGTCACATAATACTTTTTGAATATTTAGGCATCTATTCTAACTTTATATTTGATAAAATTAATGTGTTATATTAACACATCATGTTATATTAATGTTATATTAACATATATTAACACATTATATACTCATAATAAAATTCTTATATATTTTGACTTTATCAGAAAAAATTTGTTGCTATTCACCTCCCCATTACAACTTTCTCTTAACTCTTTAAATCCGAAACATAAAACTTGATGAAGGTTGTTGAAAAAAAATATTGTTCAATATTTAAATTTAAATAATTCTCAAAAATTCTTCTTTCAGTTTTCCTAACTAAACATTTTTTTTTTAAACTAAAAAATAAACTTCTTGTTAACGTTTTCTGAGGCTGCTTCTATAATTTGCACAAAATGTAGTTAAAATTTTTTTCATAAGACAAGTAAAAGCGCAAAGATATACATTTTTAAATAAATGTATATTGTTATAGATGTATTTTTAATAAGTCAAATAAAACAGGTTTAACACAAAAATCTTTATTTTTAGGGCAATGGTGGCACAGTTGCAAGAGCACTAGCTTCAGAATGAAGAGCCTGCTCTAAAAAGTATAGTTATAGAATTAAAAAAACTCCAAGTGACTTTACCTCCTTGTTCTTTTGCCAAACGTATACTTTCCAGAATTCTTCTTAGGTTTCCTTCAAAATCCATGGACCATTGTGCTAACGAACAAGTAGCTAATGTTACTTTTCTTTGCATTTCTTTTTTGTTTTAAAAAAACATTTTAATACATTATCTATGGCTGCAATAAGAAAACAAATGCAAATAAAAAATATGAAAATGTATTCTCTCTTTATATATATATATATATATATATATATATATATATATATATATATATATATATATATATATATATATATATATATATATATATATATATATATATATATATATATATATATATATATATATATATATATATATATATATACACACACACATTTATTGATTTTAAAATAATGCAAATTAAATTAGAGCATCAACTTGAAAAAATAAAATAAATTATAAAAAAAACTTTCAAAAACTTCCCAAGTGAAAAAAAAAACACTAATTGGAAAATTGTTAACTTTCTTGATATCACATTTAACCTCTTTCAAAATTCTTATGACCCTTATAAAAACTTAATGATTAATTATTATATAACAATAAAAATTTAAATCACCCTTTCAAATCTTAGAACAAATTCCTATTTCAATTAACAATAAACTAAAGACAAATAGACACTTTTAAACATGTTTATGAAGATGTGTATATATATATATATATATATATATATATATATATATATATATATATATATATATATATATATATATATATATATATATATATAATATATATATATATATATATATATATATATATATATACACACACAATGTAATACAAGATCTACAAAAGATCTATAATATTAAATCAGTTTAACTTTTAATTTTAGAAATTATCACTTCATTATTTAGCAGCTAGTAAGAACTTGTTTACCTAAGTTTTTAAATAAACAATACCTAAACAATAGGTATTGTTTATTTAAGAATTCTTAAATAAAGCTATATATACTTGTATTTTACTTAAATAATAGCTGCATTATGCAGCTATTAATTAAGTAAAATACAACCATATATAGCTTTATTTAAGTCTTAAATAAAAATTCTTAAATAATTCTTAAATTAAGAATTCTTAAATAAACAATAGGTAACTTAGGTAAACAAGTTCTTACTAGAGTTCTTAAATAAACAATAGGTAACTTAGGTAAACAAGTTCTTACAAAAGTCTGTAATATTGAATCAGTTTAACTCATATGCAGTGCATATGAGTTAAACTGATTCAATATTACAGACTTTTGTAGATCTTGTACTACATTGTATTGCAAGAAAACTTCTTAGCTATTTGTTTCTGTAAACAAAATGCGTATAACTTTCAGTTAATATTCATAGCTATAACTTTTCAAATCTTCAATTATTTTTAAAAAGCTATAATATTTCAACATTTTTATCAACTTTCGTTGCTCTTTTATGTACACTTTTTAAACTTCCACTGTTACTTTTTATACGTAAACAACAGATTGAAACCATATACCTTGAGTAAGATCTTAACATAAACATAACTATAGGTCTTACCAAGATTAAACATAATCGATTTGTTCATTTTTTTTAATCATTTACTATTATTAACACACTGTTTAGAACATCAGCAATGGTAAACCAAGGACTAACACCTGTAGTGTTCTACTCATTACTTTTCCTTAGTTGATATAAGTATCATTTAACTTACTATATGCTAATTGGTAAGTTACTATAAGCTAATTGGTAACTTTTAGTACAAAGTTTTTGTTGTTTTTTGAATGTTTTTCTGTTTATTCGCATTAGATTTTATTCTACTTGCGTCTTTCGTTCGGTTTCGTTTCTTTTCTTCTTCTGTTTTTTTTTTATTATTATTACTTCATATTTTCTGAGTTCATTCTTTTTATTATATGTTTATTAAGGATTAAGGACCGGCGAATATTCGATTAAATTCGGATTACAAAGTTGAAATGGAAATTCGGCTTTCGGCAACAATTGTAAAATTTGATTTAATTCTTAGTTGAATTCAAAGGTTATTTTAATCAATTAAAAAATAGCCATTATAAACTATATAATATATAACAAACAGAGGTGTCCTACAGAAAAAATAAAAGTAGCCTTCTTTAAGCGCAAAATCTTATTTATTCAGCACAGGCGCGGGTGCAGCATTTTTTGATGTTTGAGATACCTAACTTCCAGACATGGCGCAAACTGTTTGCGTCATGTCTGGAAGCCATAATGTTTGGAGTTTGCAGCAAACTCCAAACATTTACACGTTTATACTTGCATCAAGTAAGGATGCTTTGCAAAAAATTGCGATGATTGGAGCCTGGGAACAAAAAACCCTAAAATTTTAACTATACCTGCCCCAAAAGTGAGAGCAACAAGTTGATAAAATATTTTTTATACTAGTCTCAACCAAGTTTATTTTTATGGCCATCAATCAATCATTTGAATTAAAATTTATAGATGAATATTAACTTGGTTAAGAATAGTAAAAAAATATTTTATCTGCTTATTTCTCTCACGTTTGGGGCAGGTGTAGCTAAAATTTTAGGGTATTTTTGTTTTTATTAGATTTAAGTACAAACCAATATATGTTTGGAGTTGGCTCCATATCTGAACTTTAGGTGTTTCAAACATCAAAAAATGCTGCGTCCGTGCCTTTTAAACTTAACAGTACAACAATGGAGTATAACACTTCTTTAAAACAAATACGAGTTGTCACCCAATTTTACCATTATGTTTAAAAAAGTAAAACAATTTTAAAATATATACTGTAATATTGCCTAAGTTCGGTCACTTTAGCTTTGAACATTCATATCTCAGGCATAAATAAACGTTTTTTATATAGGGGAAAGGCGCCTATGATGGCATACTTAACTTTGAAGCTTCATTATTCAGTATTCTGAAGACCAAGAACAAAAGTTTTGATATGAATACATTCCGTGTTACATGTTAAACAATAATAACCCTAGGAGTTTTCATCAGTTTTATTTTTATATTAATTATTCTTTATTTTTAAAAAAAGTACAAGTATGCTATCATAGGCAACTATGGCTCCTGTGATGGCATAGGGGAGGATGAAGTTGGTTAGCATCAAGGGTAACTCGAGGATTTCATTTAACCTTAGAGTCTTCCATCAGAAATGCCAGAAATAACGCGTAATCATCCTAATTAACTTTTTCATGCTGCGCAGCAGCAGTGTTAAATTTCGCGCATGCGTATAAGAGATGTTGCGTATTATGCCTTTTTTGAACTAAAAAAAATTTAGTGAAGAAAAAATTCCTCTTTACTTCACTAACAAATATGTTGTTTATATAAAGAAAAAAATTTAGATTTTCCCAACTCGTCAATATTGCAACAAACTTAACTCGTTAGTATGCCATCATAGGAAGAAGTCATCATTTTTATTTACACAAGCTTGTTCAAAGTTAAAATAAGTATTCCACTAAATGCATAAAACTCGGAAATAAAATGCATGAAAATTTCATTTTTGAACAGTTAATAATAAAATTACAATCTTAAATATATTAAAAATACAACATCGCATCCCAAAATCGATGTTGATTATAAAAGCAATATTTGTGCTTAAGGGACGTGCTTTTACTAAAACTAATTTAAAGTCAGTATAAACATGTAGGTCTAATTAATTTTTCACCATAACCAATATTTATGAAAATATAACCGGTATGCCATTATATGCACCTTTCCTCTATTTTTTTTTTGAATTATACAGCCAATTTTATCGTTAAATTATATTTAAAAAATAAAATGATAAAAATAAAAACTAGCATTAGATTTTTTATTTCAAATGAAAACAGCTACTTTGTCCGAACTTTCAATACCATCTCATAAGTTCGGTCGCTATATATATATCCTTATAACGCACAACAAACTTAATGTCACAAATAATGAAAACTAAATTTTAAATGTTGTTTTAATGTAAAATGATAATTCAATAACAGGAATTACCGTCGCTAAAGTAAAAAGCGTCGTTCCGGGCTCAAAACAAAAAAATTGGGGCGCCAAAAAAAAAATAAAAAGTAGCAAATAAAAAATGACTTTTTTCAGTATTAATAGTGTTTTTTTTTTGTTTTAAATATTTTTTATTAGCTTTGTATTTTTATTGGCAATTCTTGCAAATACTGTCGACCAAAGTAGAATAGCAAGATCATTTCTTTTTTTATTTTTTTTGTATGTATTTAGGTGCTCCTAGAAGTTTTTACTGTCTTATCATAGAGTATCGCGGGAGAGCATTTAACAGGAAGTTCACGCCTCCTTTCGTACCAATGTCGCTTGTTGGGCTAGAGCTGGCGTTGAACCTCGGACCTCTGGGTTCTAAGCCAGAACTCTAACCACTGCGCCACGGCAGCTCTAGATCTAAACAACTAATTGTCACAGGGTTCGCTACGCATCCATAATTTTTGTTGAGTTGTAATTTTATCTTCAAAAGAAAACGTCACAAAGCTTGAAATTTTTTTTAAATTCAAAGAACCATTAGATTAACAGTCTTGATCACGAAATATCTTGATCATGAAATGTCTTGATCATGAAATATCTTGTTGCTGTAGATCTTCAAATAATATATGTCGTCAAACCGTGATATGTAATAAGCTTCTGTTTTAGAATCAACGCTAAATGTTAATAACGTGCGTCTCATAAAAGCTAAATGTTCCTAATAATAACTTGCGTCTCATGAAAAGTTATATTATGACTTCGGAAGAAGCTTTGGTAGAACTTTCAAACAAGCAATAATACCACAAAACAAAAAGAACTAAATACAAGGAAGGTAATTGAATTAGGACTCAAAAACGTTTGGCAAAAAAGTTTGTTTAACTAACCTACTATTAAACAACGGAAACGACAACTAGTGGAGGTAATCAAAGTTTCGACTAGTTTTAAAGGTAATCAAAGTTTCGACGACCTATATAAGAATCCAAAGCAACTTTCATATATCACACGGTTAGCACATATCTTTATAATGCCTACCTAGCTGTCCCAAGAACGCCACTTATACGGAAAGTTAGCGTACACATCAAGGTACCCTGTGATGCAAATTTTGAAATCATTTAATTTTGTCCGCGGAAAATAATTTAATTTTAATGTTCAAATTAAGTCAAATTTTGACTTCATAGTGAGCCAATAAAAACACTTGTAGAATTTGAACCACTCAATATAATTTGATAAAA